CGCCCGAGGATAGCGTGGACCGTGCCACCACATGGGCAGCCAATGCCGCGCCGCCCTCTCCGGTGCGCATGGTATCAAAGACCACCAGCGCACGTGTGCCTGCCACCCAGAGTTCGCGGCCATAGAGCAGCTGCACTGTGCGCAAGGAAGGCTGACGGCGTAGCTGGGCCGCCTCACCAACAATCGAGAACCTCCGCACAGGTGCCAGAGAGTCCGCCGTCGACCTGCTTACTGCCCGGTCCACCCACGCCTCGCACACGCCGTCATCGCGGATCGTCCATACCTCGCCGACTCCAGCCGAAAACAAGCACACAATGTTTCCGTGGCTACCCGTCTGCAGCCGCTCAACCCCGATACCAGAACCACTGGCATTGGCCACGAGCACGCGGTTTGCCGACGTACTCACCCATACACGGGCACCCTCGCCCATCGGATCACCGCCAACACACTGCACAGTAGCCACGCAAGTGAAGCGTTCCTCGGCACCCGGGGCATTGTGCAGTGCGCACACTTCGCCAGTGTCAATTCGAGTGCACACCAGGCGCGACTGGTTGATGACCGCCGCATACATGCCGCCCAGACAGGCCACGGGGCCTGTAGAGCTGGCTGGAGTGGCCTCCATGCTGAGGAAGGGCGGGATTCCGCTGAGCGTGGGTGGGCGACGACTGCTGGCGCTGAAATCGGCTGGGACGGGCCGCAGTGCGGGGTCGCTGCTGTAGTCCAGCGCCGTGCGTGTGCCGCCAGTTGCGCTTGATGGCGGGGGAATAACGGGGGGCGGCGGGGGCGGCGGTAGGTTAATGCGCTTGGAGAGCGACGAGGGAGCACTAGAGATCGACTGCTGCTGTGAGGATGATGGAGGATATGGATGAGGAGGCGGCGGCGGCGGCGGTGGTGGTGGAAGCAGGGACGCTGTGGCGAGTGTGGCTGTAGAGACCGGGGCAGGTGGCGGTGGCGGTGGCGGAAGCGACTCTGCGCGCAGCGGCCCGCCAGTGCCGATGGGAGACCGCAGACCCGCGCTGGCCATGGTCATGGGCGACCTTGGACCGCTCATTCCTGCTGGCTTTGGCGGCGGCGGGGGCCTGGGCAGCCGACCACCCACACGCGCACCCTGAAGCGGCCGCTGCTGGGGCGAAGCCGGCGGCAGCACTGGCTGCTGGAGCGCTGACTGCACGGTGGGCCGCGTCACGTCAGTGGCTCGCCGCGTGATTATGGGCAAGGGCATTCTCTGTGCCAGCGGGCTCACCGGCGGCTCCATGGAATCGGCTCCGGTGAGCTCCGGACTGGCAAACGGATTTCCGCCATCGGAGGCGGTCTGCGACAAATAAAGGCTCTGCACACGCTCGCGCACGCTCAGTGGCGAAAGCGAGGCTTCATCGGAGCTCTCGTCTTCGTCTTGCTGTGGCAGCGGGGTGCTGGGGGCTGGTGTGTATTTGCTGAGGGGCCGCTGCTGAGCCAAGGGCCTGCTTGAGGTCAGGGCGGCGGGCTTTATGGGTTCTCGTAGAGAGGCTCGGCGGCTGCCTGTTTCTTGCTGTAGACCAAGCCTGGCTATCCTCTCTGCTAGCGTTTTGGGAGCGCTGGCAGACGAATCAGAGTCTTCGTCGCTGTGCATGTGAATGAATGGAAATAAAAAGAAAAGAGAGTCGAATTAAGCGAGAAACAAAAACAAAGCGGCCGGGGGTAATAAAAATGCATGATGTGCGAAAGACCCGGGACCTCCACAAATGCGCAGACGAAAACCGGAGGCCGCTGATTGATTGATGATGTATGTATGCACGGCATCGCCCGCCTTTTGGCCCTTTGCAACGCCAGACCGACCGCTTTTATTGCCAGCCAACCGAGCTGGCTGGGCCGCTGGCTCTTTTCTCTTCCCCCATCCCCCATTCCACTGCCTTTTTGTCCTTTCGCCTACTCTTTATTGTAGCCCGAGCCTCTTTATTATTTCTTGGAATTCAGCGGCCCCTTTGCCCCCCGTTTCTTTGCCCACACCCGCCGCCCGAAAAGCGCCTGGCCGTCTTTCTGTAACAAAGGCCTCCTCTTTGTCTCGCATGGACCCCGACCACCAGCACCGCCCCGCCATGGCTCCCCAGGCGGACGCGCCGGCCAGCTCGAATGCGGCCTCGCAAGCCAACAAATCGCCCCCCTCAGCAGCAGACACAGCGACTAATTCAAGCCCGACTGCGGCCAAAAAGAAAAGGCCACGTCGACACAAAGGGAAATCCTCGCCCACCACGTCAGCACAACCAACAGCTGCAGAGCCTCCCCGGGCCAGCCAGGCTGCAACAAAACATGCACCCCAGTTGTTTGAGCCATACTACGATGCAGCGAGGCTGGCCGCCGGTCTCTCCTCGGGCACGCTGGTGCGCGGTGTGCTGCGGGTCAACTCCAAGAACCGCACAGACGCATACGTTGCTTTGGACCAGTCTCCCAGCGCGCGGGCATTGGAGCGCTTCCCGTTCCTCGAGACATGTGCGCCGGGCAACGGAAACGACCTGTATGTGTGTGGCCCGGAAGATCGCAACCGCGCAATGGCCGGCGACATCGTAGCAGTACGTATCCTGGGCAGGACTCAGGCAGCCGCATCGTACCGCAAGCACCGCATGGCCGACGATCGGCGCATGGACCATCTTCGATCCGAGCGCCGGGCACGTCTGAAGCACATGGCACACAGCACAGGCGCCGCACAGCCCGCTAGTAAAGCACCATCGGATGAAGGCGGTGTCAAGGTTCCCGAGATGTTCTGTGCCGTGGTCGGCGTGCTTGCAGCCAACACTGACTGCTGCTTTGCAGGCACCCTGTCACACAACGTGCCAAGCGCAGTGCGGAAGCACCCGCGTTTTGCAGCGTCGCTGGATAGTGACTCTGTGCTGTGGTTCGTGCCCGACAACAATGGTGCACCATGCATGATGGTGGCCGCAGCCGATGTGCCAGAGTCGGTGCGCTCGGATGCAGAAAAACGGGCGCTTGTAGTCGTGCGCATGGATCGCTGGGAGGAAACCAGTCCGCTGCCGCATGCTTTGTTTGTCAAGGCTCTGGGCTCCCGCGGCTCACTTGAAACCGAGACTGCGCTGATCCTTGCCGACTGTGGTGTGCGTACCGAACCCTTCGACGCCGCCACCCTGGCATGTCTCCCGCAAGTGACTCCGGCGCAACCCTGGACCATTCCACCAGCTGAGCTGCAGCGACGCACGGACTTGCGCACCTCCTGCATCTTCACCATCGACCCATCGTCAGCCCGCGACCTAGACGACGCCGTCAGCTGTGGCTCGCTTCCCAACGGTAACGTCCTGATGGGCGTGCACATCGCCGATGTGTCGCACTTTGTGCGTCCCGGCACAGCTCTTGATACCGAGGCCCGCGCACGCGCCACAACCACCTACATGGTGCAGCGCGCCTACCCGATGCTACCGCCGCTATTATGCGAGAACCTGTGCAGCCTGGGCCCCGGTATCGACCGCCTGGCCTTTAGTGTTATGTGGGAGATGGATCCACGCTCGGCGACTGTGCTGTCGACATGGTTTGGCCGCACAATCATCCACTCGGCTTGCAAACTCTCGTACGATGACGCCCAATACGTCATTGACAGCGGACATTTGCCCGACCATGTGGCCCTACATCAAGCCCTATCCGATGGCCAGCGCGTGGCAGCATCGGCGCTACGGCGACGTGAAGTCGAAAACAGCATACTGTGGCTGCACCACCTAGCCGTGCTCATGCGACGCCGGCGGTTTGCCCAGGGCGCACTATCACTTAGCAGCACGCGTCTGAGCTTTGATCTTGATCCTGACGGCCGCCCGGTAAGCTGCCAGCCCTACGAGCTCAAAGCCAGCAACCGTCTGATCGAGGAGTTTATGCTGCTAGCCAACATGTCCGTAGCCGCACGCATCGAAGCCACATTCCCTAAAGCCGCTCTACTACGTCGCCATTCACCGCCTCTACTCCGCCGTCTCGAAGAAACCTGTCGTTTGCTCGCAAACTCTGGTATCGACATTGATCCTACCTCAGCAAAGACCATCCAGGCCTCCCTTGACCGCATCAGCGACCAAAGCACGCGCTCTGCAGTTGAAAATATACTGACAGGTCCTATGCAGCGCGCCATGTACTTTAGCACTGGCGCCATTGACAATGCCCAGGAATACGCACACTATGCTCTCAACGTCCCCCGCTACACTCATTTCACCAGTCCCATTAGACGCTACGCCGATGTTATTGTGCATCGAACCCTGGAAGCCTCCCTAGCTCTCTACGGCGACCATGTAGCTGACCGAGACCACCCACTTCTTCCTGAATACTATTCGCCGTATTTTCCTCCGCCAGTATTTGAGCGTCCAACCCCGCGTTCAGTTCAACCCCTGGTACCCCACTCCGACGACATTGCCAATATTGCCCATATTTGCAATCTCCGCAAGGACGCTGCCAAAAAGGCCCAAGAAGCTAGTATCCAGCTCTACCTTGCCCATTACCTCGACCGCATGACCCGCAACTCTCCCAGTAGCCCCATCCCTGGTATTCTCACCCCCGCCGTTGTCACAAAGATCAAGCCCGATTGCCTAGTCGTCACCCTATCGCACTTTGGCATCGAATCCACAATCTATATGGATCGCATGGCCGATAAAAAGAAGGAAGTCGTTGCCACCGACGGAAGATCCTGGGCCCTCAAATCATGGTCCGTCGACTTGGACTCGGTCACGCTCACATGGGATGCCAAACCTTCAAAGTCATCTGAATCGCCAGATGACCTGGCCAGCAAGTTCTCAGCCCTCGTCATCGACGAAGAGGGCCAGGACAGTGTATCTAGCGTAAAAAAGTCATCCCGCAGTACTCTTGGATTCGTCCAGGTTCTACATATGTTTGATAACCTCACCGTCTGCATCAACCCTGCTCTCAATCCGCCATCCGTTAACGTTAAACTGGCCATGCCCAGCATCTAATTTATCGTGCAAATTAAAAAACTGAATCGTCATCAATTTAAAAAAAATTCAGAAATAAAAAGCAAAATATTGTGCGATGACCGGGAATCGAACCCGGGACTAAAGCTTGGAAGGCTTCAATTATACCTCTTAACTATCAACGCAGCTAATACTGAGACAACCCTAGTAATTTGCGTTTGTGATGGACATCAGACAAGAAAAGCAACGCGCATTGCAGGACATGCGCAACAAACCACCTGACGTTGTATCCGCACGACGCAAGTGAAATGAATAGCTTTTTATGATAGTTTTTTATATGTAACGTTTTTCT